TTAAGTAACTTGTGCATTGTTTTACTTACTTGTTTTTGACATATCCGACCGAACTACAAACTTTCCAGTGATGTCTGTGAGAAAGGTATATTCACTCGACAAGCTCGCGCATCTGCGCCGCCGCGCGCTCAATCCACTCAGCGTGCTTTGTTTATCAGCTCGCGCACATCAGCTATACAGGCGTTAATACTGAATGTTTAACATTATATTCATTGCATACATATACTTCGTAGTAGACATCCTTAATTCCTTTCTGCTGTCTGTTGTTCTGTTGTCAGTGTTTCTGTCTGAATATGGCGCTTATCACATATTCCATACCATACCGATACCATATGTGGTATCGGTGTTTGGTATCGGGGCATTTTAACGAGTACGAGTACAGGAGACCAGTATCGGGCCCGATACCGATACCAGTATCGGTGCATCCCTAGTTTAAATTATATTAAGCCTTAAAGTTCTGCATAATTAAGGGCGTGGCCACTTGAGTGACAGGTGGATTGCCGCTGCTGTCACCGCCGTCGAGCTAGGTGGACGTGGTTTCAGCAACCAGCTCATGCCTCTTTGCCCATTTTCGATTATCCAGGAGTGACACGCTGCCAAGATGGCGACAGCTGGCTCCGCCCACTTTGAGCTTCAAAAACACTCTTCAGAAACCTATTGGTGACGTCACGGACACTACGTCCATGTTTTTATACAGTCTATGAACATACCTGATCCAATATCAGTCAAAGACTCAAGACCATTTGAGGAGGTCTGAAAAGAAAAACAAGGAGATTTGTTAAAGTAATCCAAACCATGCAATTCTCAATTTACAAAACAGCTTTTGTTTTTATAGAACAACTTTTTTGTAAAAACTTGCCTCCCCTGTAGGAGAATTAGTTTCTCCATTGCTGTCGGTCACAGATGTTGTAGAATCGAGCTGGAATAAAAAGTGCGACATGTTGGAATGAGTAGGTTACAAAAAAATTTCTGCTGCACTTAAGGTTCCTAAGACCACAGTAGCCTCCACAACAGTGCAGATATAATGATTTGTAGCAAATGGCTGCAATATAACAGAGTGAAAAATTTAAGGGGGTCTGAATACTTTCCGTACCCACTGTATATGAACTGCAAATGATCAATATTTTAACCTAACAATCTAAAAAACAAACCTGAGGGCTGACGTATGCTTTGCGGATTTTCAAACCAAGTTTGTTAGCTAGATCCTGAGCAAGCTCACTGACTTGCCGGTCCTGTGTACAATAAAGCAAGGAAACAACCAATGTTTTGTTAGCTAAGCATTACATGAACTAACAAGACAAGTCATACAAATCTCTAAATTAATATAATATACATTCAATTATATACACTACCATTCGAAATTTTGGGGTCAACAAGATTTTTTAATGTTTTTGAGAGGTCTCTTATGCTCAGTAAGGCTGCATTTATCTGATCAAAAATACAGTAAAAACAGTAATATTGTAAAATATTATTACAATTTAAAAAAGACTGTTCTATTTTTATTTATTTTAAAAAGCTATTTATTCCTGTGATGGTAAAGCTGAATTTCCAGCAGCCATTACTCCACTTTTCTTTGTCACATGATTATCCTTCAGAAATCATTCTAATATGCTGATGAAGAAACATGTTGTTTTATCAATAATGAAAACTGTTGTGCTGCTTAATATTTTAGTGGAATTTAAGACATTTCTTCAGGATTCTCTGAATAGAAAGTTCAATGAAATCTTTTGTGAAATTATAAATGCCTATACTGTCTTTTTTGATTCATGTAATGCATCTTTGCTCAATAAAAGCAATAATAAAAACATTCTGACTTCAAACTTTTGAATTGTATAAATAACACAAATTAGAGATTAATATACTATTTATTCTGCATATAAAAACATACGTGAGGGGCAGTTAATAGGCATCCGGTGCCACACTCATAAGCTTCTCTGAATCTGCCCAGCTCCCTCAGACAGAGTGCCTTCCTGTAGAGTGCCCTGCGACTGCCCTCCGACACACACAGTGCGCTATCACAGTCCTGCACGCCCCGCTCATACTCCCCCTAAATAAAAAATACAAGAGAAGGCAGATTTGCAGAAATTGTCTGCAGCACTAATTAAATCCTCAGCTGATGGAACTTACCAGACTATACTGTGCAGCTGCCCGGTTCACATAAAGGCTCTCTAACAGCTCAGGGGGAATGACCAGTGCTTCAGACTGAGCATAGCGAGCTACATTCACACCCTCGCTGTAATGGACTGCTGCCGGTCTCCACTCTCCATCACGATACACTGCGTTACCTTCATCCAGCAAATTACATACTAGCTGAGTCAAGAATGCCTGAGAAAAGAAAGCAAGAGAGCTTCTATTTGAATTAAGCTCATGAAACTCAATACATACGGATTATCTAGGTGGGGCCATTTTTCTCCAGATAGTACATATAAATCATACCTCATAACCCTCAGGTTCAGGGAAAGGCAGAGATGACCTGGTAAAAATACATTTTTTTTTTAACAATTTTCAACAGAGTAGAGGGGAAGAAGTTAATTATTACTGCATTATGGAGATGCAGCACATACGTCTACAAACTTACTGAATGAATCCCAAAGCTTTCTGAATTTCTTCTTTACGCTTCTGTCGTTCTAGATCCATAGCTGTAACATATCACAACCAATAAGCAAAATTGTATTACGTTTAAACAAACCCTAACTTATGGTGCAAGAAATAAAAATACACCTTGTAGGGACAAAACATACAATTACTGCAAGTGGTTTTATAAAAGATAAAAGCACAAAATGTTACGTAAAACATTTCAGTTATATGCGTTTTTAATATTCTAGCAAACATCAAAACTGATATACTGGTGTAGAAAATGTAGTTGCGGTAATTAATCAGGAAAATATTAATGATTCAAACTTTTCTAGACATAACTGAGCACAATAAAGTAATTTAACACATAATTATATGCACGAAAAGTAGATATTACAGATATATCATCTCTAAGGCCTAAAATTCCAGATAAGCAACTCCGAGCACATCCCCGGACTCTCCTAGGAAAACCCCCCACTAATGCAACACTCTCCGGACTTCAGAAATCAAAAACAAATACCAGCCATCCTTTAGTCGTACTTGAAACACTCTTCAATATAATTTAGAATATATAACATATTTTACCGACTTAACGTTAAAGGGTAGTGTCAGCGGAACACACTAATGAGAAAGTTAACTTGCACGGGCTTCGGGTTAGCATTAGCTTTAATGCTAGCTAGCGCTCGGCTAGCCCGCTAATGCTGTCAACTTCAGGTTTGTTTACACCAATTAATATCAATGATGAGTTTTATATGCCGACACAAAACAGTTCCAACAAACATCCAAAATATTTTCCTACAGTCTAATATTTTATAATTAAATTCTAACGGACCTTTTCTACACAGTATCGTATAAAATATCTTTAAAATTCTCCTGATAGCCAATTAGCAAGCTACATTTCGCGAACTGCTGCAGCGAGGACGCGTTTTAACCTTAATAATAACTGGCATAAAACACCAGAGGATAAAGTAAACACCAGAGCGGTTTGATTATTCAAATGTTATATACAAATTAGTCTACATTGCAGAAGTCAGCTATGTAACGTTAGCAAGCTAAAACAGAACGTTATTAGGAGGACATTCAACCCACCTACGACTTTAGATCTTCTCTTCCACCAGGAACTGTTTGATAAAGCAATAAATCCCTTTAACTATCAGGCAAAAGGTTTGGGTGTTTTATTCCTTCAAAATCATACTTTTAATTCATTCGCCTGCCCCAAATAAACGGACAGAACATGTGCCACTTGCGTCGTTTTCCCAAGTTTAACTAAACCGTCCAGGCTGTGAGGTCCTAAAGGCAGAGAGATGGAGCCTTTTTTTGTTCAAAGTGGAGCATTCAGCCACTAGGGGCATTGGTGATTTTCTTTACAAAAACTTGGCAGCTCTTTCATAAAGCAAAGGCCAAAAATCTCGCGTTTATTTGAAAAAAAAAAAAAATAATAATAATAAAAAAGTGTATTGCCTGTTAATTTAATTCAGGTACAATTGTCAGTCTGGTTTAGAGGTCGATTGTATTATTATTATATCGATATTATAGCATCATTATATATTTATATTATGTTTACCTATTAGTTTGTAGGAAAGCATACATGAAATAAATAAATATTTTTTGACTAAATTTTTAAAATGAGCCTACAATTAACAGTTGCTGAGACTATATCACGTCAACAGAATTAAATAAATCCATAGTGATTTTCATAGCTGTCTATCAAAGCTAATATTTAGTTATTGTGCAAGTATTTGTAATATATATTTTCCCAACATGTTTAGTGATTTTAAATGATTACATCTCCAAAATGAATCATCTTGTGTAGTAAAAATGAAACAGGGCATCAGTGGTCAACTATTATAATATTATTCACACAATGGAGCTCATTCAACATGTCAGTAAGTATTAAAAATTATTTTAACAGCCTAATGAAAGTAGAAGTGGGCAAAGCAACAGCACTTTATGCCTCTTAACGTGCATTTCTATGTACTTTACAAGATATCTGAGGAATACCCACTGATCTATAATAGAGAATAATATATTATATATAGATCAGTGGGAATACCACATAATTCTTCTTCTTCTTCTTCTTCTTCTTCTTATTGTTTTTGTTGTTATTATTATTATTATTTGCAATTTTTAGAGAGTGTCAGAGGCATATATATATATATATACACACATATCTATGGTCAGAGGGCTGTCCTGACATGAATATGTCTAGATTTTAGCCTTATGGTTATCTAGGAAGGCTTCTCAAGAAAGACAAAGCATAATAATACTGAATCATAACAGTGGTGCAATCTGTGCATTTTCTCTCGAAAATTCACCACCAAATTAAAATAGCCTTAGAAATGTCTCATAATTAAATGTGGGGCATTATTTGAAAAGGTACTTTTAACTTATAAAATTGAACTTCCGGCGTTGCTAGGCTCCTCCGGAATTAGCCGTTTGTTTACACATTTCTTTGGCTTTCAGGAGCATCGTTGAAGCAGTGTGAGGAGAAACTAAAGCAGCAGCGTAAGTTTTTTTTTTTTTTTTACTTTGTACATGCATTTATTTAAAAAACAATGTTGTGCTCGATCGATGTGTTGAAGAATATGTATTTATAACTAGCTGCTTGCTAGTAACTAGTCTCTCGAAGATAAAGGTAGTCACCTTATTATTATTATTTTATTTTGTTTTATCTTATCTTATTAATACCTTATTTAATTGCCATTTTGAAATAAAGAATAATTGCCTTTGGCTTTCTTAACTGGACAACTGTAATTAGCCTGATGTGGACAAAAAGGCCTCAAAAAGGCCATGTATTGAATTATGTTATGTTGACGCAGGTTGGAAAGTCTGACTATTTACCTCAAAAATGCCCTTGTTTGGCGACATTTTCAGTCCCAAAAAAACACCACCTCGTAAGTCTGCATCCCTTTCCAATCTACATACAGTAAGTACAATTTTCTGTAAGTAAGATGCATTTTAAATCAAAAATTAAGTATTTAGAAGCCAAATGATCATTTATTGTTTTTATCAGCTGGATCGGTCAACACGTGAGACTGAATTAGGTCTAGAATATGGATCTCCGGTGATGAATATTGGCGTCCAGAGCTTGACATTTGAAGATGGCCAGTGGATTTCAGGTATGGTCTCCTGCTATAAAAAGATCAATTAAATGTAATGATAGCTAACCTGTTTAAGGAATGTAATGAATGTCTTTCTCAATCACAGAGTCAGGAGGTAATGTATCAGGAAAAGAGGTACAGCGACTGAAGAAAAGGAATCTACAGTTAGAAGAGGAGAATAATCTCTTCAGGCTAAAGATTGAGGTTCTTCTTGATATGGTGAGGGAAGCCACAATAGCTTGAAAAATATGTAGGCTAAATCTATATACAATTATAAATTACACTGCGCAAACTGCAAAGTGACTTAACTTTTTTCCTTTAAGCTTTCAGAGTCAACAGCAGAAACACACCTAATAAAGAAGGAACTTGAAGATGTGAGGAGTAATTCTCGGAGAAAGAAGTGATGAAAGGAAATAAAGGGGATTCAGTCTTTTTTTATGTGTATATACAGTATAGGGATTTTACAATGAAATTGGTGGAACTATTGCAAGACAATATTTAAATATCACTTACATATTACGCTTTTTTTTTTTTTTAATTCTTTATATCACTTTGTATATTTCCTTTTTAAATTTTGTACTGTTTCATTGCCAATTATGTGAAAAATAATAGTTTTTTTTTTTTTCAGTTTTAATGAATAATTTCAGGTAATCTAATTTTTGCATTTTCTGTTTATTTTGCCTTAAAATAACTGTGTTGCATTGGAAATACATTCAAAACTATAAAAAAAACATCTGCTGAATTCAACAAAATGTTTTCAGATGACATCAAATCAGCTGAAGCTCACTTATAATGTGTTTAGAATACAATAACTTGTCTTATAGCCAGTTATTATACCAAATCCTCATTCCTTTGGCCCCAGTAAGTGCTCTTACATGACAGTCCCAAAACATTTCAGCATGTGTAGATCTGAATGTGCATTCAAATAACAGAAAACAATTACACTCTTTCTTTGGTTCAGCAGTAAGATTAGCCAAGAGCTGTAAAGGTTTAAACATGTACATGCTGATTTAAGAGGATTTTCATATGGAGTGTGAGGCACGTATTACACGCCTAAGGTAGAAAATTCTAGATCCGGCTTTTTTCTTCTTCTTCTTCTTTAATAATAATAAACCAAATACATTTTGAATTATAATAATTGTTGTACCAATTTTATGGCAAAGTTTTTCTACTATGTAATTTGATTTTTCAAAAGTGTACCTGTCAAACTGTTAAACTCCAGATTTCCAAAACAATAAAAGAACACTTGTTATTGTATCACATCCAAACTACTTACATCAGTGTAATGACCCTGTGTTGTTTTTAGAATGAAAATGCATTGTCCAAGTTACTGTACTGACAAAACAAGTAAACAACCAAACAATAATTCTGTAATACCACTTGTACTGTCCAGGAATTTCACCTCATTACCTATAAATAAGAGACTTTGTGAGCAGATTAATTACAGATTATTAGCAGTGAGTACAAGGCAAGGAAGGAGGTGCACCAGCAGGTTTATTTAGCAGATTATGCTTTAAAATAATTCATATGTACAGTGCAATGGGGCTTTCTTGATGACAAGACTTAGTGCCTTATGTATCTAGATTATATACATTATGTCTACTAAGAAGGCCAGGTAGATCATACAGCTACTTGAAGAAATTTTCTGCCATTTCAAAAGCCAGGTAAGACAATTACTTGTGTTTCAAGTATCTTAAAAAACAATCAAATAATTGTTCTCAAGATGATATTTATGTTTATTTATCTATGAAGATTTTAAATCTTCCAGGTAAAAGCATCTGGATTTCACTTGTTCTTATGACCACTCATCCTGGTGGTTTCATTAATTGTGATATACAAATGTTACATTTAGAGTCTATATGGTTATGCAAAACTTTTGCATGACTAAATATTTCCAGAATAATTCTAGAGACTCTGTAAAACAATGTAGTGTTATGGACACTAATACAAAATGAATAGAAATTATTTTAAATACTGTGAGCTCTACACATTTGCTCGATACAAAGAAGTGGAGGTCAGATGTCTAGATTTAAATCAGAATTTTACAACAGGATATTGATGAATTGCAGTAATGTAAAATTTTTAAGTAGTAACCTTTTACAATCTGTCCCAATTGTAATCTGTCAGATGTCTGGTTACGTCAAAAGCCAGACATTTTAAATCAGATTATATTACAGTAATGCACAAGAGTAAAAGTATCCACACCCTGAATGTATTTCCTCATCATCGTACAAATAATGCATGCTGTTAAATTAATCACATTTCCATATGTTTTGTGATGCAACATGCAAGCAAGAATAAAATGTGAGGTGTACCAGGGACTTGGCATTTGAAGACTCAATCAACTATAACACAAGTCACTAGATAAAAAAAAAAACTTAAAAGAAACTTCATGATCCAAGTTTCTGATATTTACTCAATATGATACATTATGTGTCAGTCAGTGTCAGTCAAGTAATGAGTAGGTTGGCCTATGACTGTACTTCCTGGAGGTGAAGGGAAACATGTGTCTTGTACTCATGTACTAACTTCCTCTGCAAATGTGATACAGGTTCTTGAACAGAAGCACATGTTCGGTAGTGCATCATCTGAAATTGAAATTGCTAGAATTTGTTCTGTCTGATCACGTTTTTTTTTTTTTATTCTACATATAAGTATATCAAAAACCTTTCATGTCTTCTCTTTTGGAGGCCTGAGCAGCTATGGGAATTATTGTAGAGGATCAAGAGACAGTAGGTGCCCCAGATGGTGGCTGGGGCTGGATCGTTCTGCTTGGATGTTTTGTCATCACTGGCTTCTCATATGCCTTCCCGAAAGCTATAAGTGTGTATTTCAAAGAACTGATGAAGGAGTTTGACTGTGGATACAGTGACACAGCCTGGATTTCATCTATAATATTAGCAATGCTGTATGGTTCAGGTAAGATACTATAAATTGAATTATAAAACCTTTACATGTTTTAGAAAAATCTTTTCTTCTTCTTCTTAATGCTCAACATATTTATGTTAATTTAATCCAGGTCCAATCTCCAGCATCATGGTTAATAAATTTGGATGCCGGCCAGTGATGTTGGTTGGAGGATTTCTGGCCTCAGGAGGGATGATAATTGCATCTTTCTCTACTAACATTATCCAGGTTTATCTTACTGCAGGTGTCATTACAGGTAACTAAAAGACATTTCATATCAAAAATGTATAAATCTATAAAC